AAATTGATGGCAACCAATCGAGGTAAATGAAGGCAACTTTTAGTTTTAAGATTTATTAAAAATAAATATTTCGTGCTGATTTTAAAATATTTTCATAAAATTTGTTGAAAAGAATTCATTAGAAGTTTGAGTTTGAGAAAAAAAATATTACATCATGAGTACTCCAATCAAGTTTTGTTATGTATATAGGCAGACCCACCTTAATAAAAATAAAAATTTAATTTAATATATGAGTGAGTCTGTATGTACACATGACAGACCATGATTGGAGTCCTGATGCAAAACTGCATCAGAACTTCTGATGCAATAATTTTTCGAGTTTTTGAGTTACTTCTATTATGAAAGCCAATCATTTATCTAAATTGTCTTAGCTCCTAGTAATTTTATTTAGAATAATTAATTTTTCAAGCAACACCTCTCATTAAGAAAAAATAAATTTCTCATAATTTTTCTTTACAAATATGTCTCAGCTTTTTTATTTTTTATTTGTTCACGCCAATAGCAACCAATTTTTACAAAAAAAAATTATAATATCAGTTTACTAAATTTTAATTTTATAAACTAAAATAGATACTCTTAAAAACGCAAGGATATTGTTGCGAATAATATAAAAAAATATGATAATTCAAGCATAGTTTTTGTTAATTTTTTATTTTTTTAAATAATACTATAAGAAATTTTATTCATTAAAAATAAAAAAGAGGGGTAGCGACCCAAAAAGACACCACTCAAATAACTCAAGAAAAAAAAAAAAAAAAATCCTGAAGAACCAAAGTAACACGAACAATCTGTACAATAAAAAAACATAAGAAAATGAAAATCAATACGAATATAAGGAATTTCTAAACAATCCCCCTTAATCAGACGAGCTAACTCAAGAAGAATCCTAACAGAGAAATTGAATTCTTGAGTCACCAATCCTCGCTTAACAATCTAGTTAGCGCACTGGTTCCCTTAACGATGAAAAAAAATCTAATGAACCTGCACAATCTTAAGGAAAACAAATATTGTTTTCATAGAAATAATAAGAAACTAATGATACTCTTTCTTTTTTATACTATAGTTTCAAATTTCCATGAAATCCATCTCAATCTCAATGTAAGACCAACCGCAATTAACCGCTAAGAAAAGGGCCATAATAACAGCTTCAGCTTCCGTACGAAGAGGAGTATCAACCGCAGTAGGAGTAGAAATCCAAAACAAACATTTTCCTGTAAAATTATGACACACCTCATCAATACCCACATATAAATTGTTCAAACTACCATCAATATTAAACTTTAAATTACCTCTCGATGATTTTTTCCATAAAAACAAATTAGTTACAGGCTTAAAATAAGCAGAAATCGCAATATTAAATTTATCAAATATTTTAATCACATTCAATCCCAAAGGTTTCTTTATATTTCCATATTTAAGCATTTGATAACTGTAATTTCTAATAAAAGTAAAACAAGAAAGCCGAGAAATTAAATTACCATTATGTTTAGATTCATTTCTAACAAATCAAAGATACCAACAAACAACAATAGAAATAGAAGAAAAGAACAACCTCTACCACAGGGCTTCCAAAAGTTAAAAAAAAAAAATAGCAATTAAAAAATTGTTCACCTCATTCATCTTCTTATCACAAAAGATAAAAACATTAAACCAAACCTCATAAGAATAAGTGCATGTAATGAAAATGTGCTCCAAATTTTCTTCATTTTGATTGCAAAGATAATACTTAGAAGGGATTCTTAAACCCTTCATTTTTAGAATATTATCAGTTGGTAGAATTTAATGAAAAAGCATCTAACAGAAAAAAGATTGAGAGGCTTTAAAAAAGAATTCCAAACCAAGGTTAAATCCTAACCATTAGGAATCGGAAAAAATTTTGCATAAGTTTTAGAAATCAAATTACTACCTTAACCTTTAATAATAATTTTAAACATATTATTATTAATAGAAATTTTACCAAGTAAAGTAGCCTGCTCTTGTCCAACGAACCCGCAAAGCTTGCTCAAGTCCCAATTATTGTTAAGCCAACAACTATTAATATTAATATTCACATCAAAAGGGCCCAAATAAAAATTAGCTAAGGGAGCATCCCCTAACCACCAATCATACCAAAAGCTACAATCACCTTTACCGACATACCAGCAAAAGAAATCTTTAGTAATTCTGACAAACTTAAGCATTTCTTTTCAAATAAAAGAGTCTGTAGGATTAGGTGTAACAGAAGGAGGATGAGACTTGCCACAATATTTATTCCTCATCAATGAGGACCAAATAGAATTATCATTTCTAAACTGAAACCACAATTTAATAAAACTAATATGCATAGAATCAGAAATATTTATAAATCTCAATCCCCCTGAATGAGTTGGCTTACACATTTTCATCCAACTCATCCAGTGGATTTTAGAATCCTTAACAACACAAAGGAATTTTTTAAAATTATTCTCAATATTCTTAATCAAAATATAAGGGAATTTTATAAAAAAATAATGTACAAAGAGGTAAATAGGTAAGAAAACTTTTAAGTAAAGTACTTTACCTCCAAATAAAAGAAAAAGATTATCCCACGACACAATTCTCATATTAATTTTCTCAATAAGATTATCAAATCAAAGAATTTTTCTTTTACCTTTATCTAGAATGAACCCAGATAAGTTAAAGGCAGATTACCTTTATTGCGCATGGTAAAATCATGAATCAAGTTTTTTCTTCAATTTAGAGATCTTTTTTTAACAGTAAAGAAACAATTATTTGTATTAAATGACAAACCACAAACATCTTGAAAGTGTTCAAGACTAGTCCAGAGCCTCTCAATGGATCCCATATTAGAATTAGTAAAGATTATTAAATCATAAGAAAAAACAAGATGTGAAAGTCCAAAATTCCCCTTGATAGCATAATACTTACTAAAATAATCAGAGTATAGATATCTAGACAAACAATTAAAAGACAAAATGAAAATAATGGGAGATAAAGGATCACCTTGTTTGATCCCTTTGGAAGAAGTAAAAAAAAGCCATAACTAGTCTAATTAAGCAAAATAGAATAATAATTATTTTCAAGAATTCTTCTAATAAGAAGATAGGAATTAATATTAAAACCTCTGGCTTTGAAAACTCTCATAATGAAATCCCACTTGATAGTATCAAAAGCCTTTTTAATATCCATTTAAAAAAAAATATTACCATTTCTGCAAATTTTATCAAGATCCAAAACCATCTCGTGGACGATATAAGCATTCTCAGAAATAGATCTACCTTTAATAAACCAGATTCATGTTGAGAAATCAGCATATTAAGATGCTCTTGTAATATATTCACCACAATCTAAGAAATGATTTTAGACACTAAAATCATTCCAATGAATAACATTCTTATTTTTAGGAAAAAGAACAAGATTAGAAGCATTAAAATATTTAGGGAGATCTTTTCCATTAAAAAAATATTGAACACACAAAACCACATCATTAACCACAATATCCTAACAAGACTAATAAAAAGCAAAGGTATAACCGTCCGACCCAGCAGATTTATTGTTATCAATAAATAAAAGAGCATTTTATTACCTCATTGTGATTAGGATTAAAAGCTATATCCATCCCAGCCACCATATCAACAACAAAAAGATCACTATTAATTTCTAAAGGACATTATGATCACAGTTAAAAAGATTAATGAAATAAGAAATACCATCAGCTTTAATATGATCAAAAGACTAAATAATGTTACCATTTTCCTTCTTAATTTTATGAATATAATTCAACATTCTCCTCTTTTTGGTTAAAGCATGGTAGTAGCTTGTCCCAATCACCATCCATAAAAGAGGACTCCATAAATTTTTTGTTTATAAAAGGCTTCTTCCATATTAATAGCACAAGTATAGCTATCTTGTGCACTCAACAAAGAAGGATAATCAATTAAATCATGAGAATAATCCTCAGTCAAACCATTAAGATAATGAACAATAGAATACATGTTACCAAAAATGTCCCAATTCCAAGTTGTAAGTTTAGAAGCCAAATTCTTTTGTAAACTCCAAAGTTTATTACCAGCATTCCCCATGCAAACAGTATTCTAATTATCTTTAACAAATTGGTGAAAAAATTATGAATAATCCACATATTTAAGAATCTGAAGTGATAAATATTACTTTTATTAGACATTGTAACACTAAGTAAAATAGAAGTATGATTTGAACAAGCAAAAGGAAGATGAATCACAGAATAATGATGAAAGTATTAAACTAAACAGTATTAAACAAAAAACGATCAAGCCTTTCAAAGACATTACCTCGATGCAAAGTAAATACAATACCAGTAAATCCCAAGTCACTTAGACCTACATCCAAAATAGCACCATAAAAATTATCAATTAAAGTCCTGTTATAATACTTACCACATTTCTTTTCCTTAATCTAAAGAAGAGCATTAAAGTCACCACCAACTATTCAGGGATCATTACCACAATCCTTTAAATAAAAAAGACTATGCCAAAGTTCTGTTCTAGCAAGACTAGAACAACCAACATAAACAATAGTGGCCAAAAATGAAACATTATCCCAATTAATTCTCAAATGCAAAAATTGACAATGGTCAATAATAATTTGGACAGTAATATGATTATCCCAAAAGAACCATATATTATTTCTATAATTAGCATAAGAATTAAATTTTTTGATTATATTCATAATCTTATTATTATTTTGAATAGCAACCATAGGTTCCAAAATTCCAAAGAAATGTAACTTATAAGATCTAATAATATTTCTCAAACGATTAGAGGCATTGAGGCATTAGCATCAGCAATGCCTCTAATATTCCAAATGAAGAAAGTAAACATTAATTAAAGAATTCTTACCCCTTGTGAGACTTTGAGATTGAGATACAATTATCTCCTTTCCTTTCCCAACTCCCTCATTTTAAATATTCGAAGCCTTAGAATTCACATGCTTTAATTCTCTTAGACCTTTTAACTTTTTTTTCTGATATATTTAATTGAAAGTCATTCTTTCTCCATTTCTTCTTTAACAAATGCTAGATTATTAGCCAACTCTTCCTCATCAATATTATTATAAGGAAAATCATTATCATCACCGCACTCATCAACGATATTAGTAACAGGAAGATCAACTATATTATCACTAATGTCATTCATAGTATCATTAACTACAACCAGAAAATTAGCTTTAGGAGAATTGGCTTCAATATCCTCAAAGTTGTTCTCAAGATCTTGTTTATCTTTATTACAAGATAATGTATCTTGATTTTCAATAACCTCTATAGCAAAATTGTTAACCTATTTATCACCATTTTGTACATCAATAGCCAGATCAGTATTGCATTCAGATTATTCTCAACTTGTAAGACGTCTCCATGAAATTTTTCAGGAGGCACAGTTTTGTCATTCAAAGAAAGATTAATATTACCTCTCACACTGCTATTAATTACAATAGAAACACGTTTAGGACCTTCCTTTATTAATTCAGGATGCACAAAAATTTATGAAGTAAAGTTATGACCAAACATACGACAATTAGTACAGTATTGAGGAACGAATTCCATTTCAACACTCTGCGAATAACCATTATTCGCATTTCCAGTCCAAATTAGGTCAATAAAGGGTGTTGTGACATCTCTTTCAACAAAAATTCTAGTCATCGACAATCGAGAACAATTGAGAGTAACTTGATCCACCTTTAATGGTGTACCCAAAATGTTCCCTAAGGAATAGAAAACCTTTAAATTATATAAAAGCAATTTTAACCCAGAGAACCTTAGCCAAACAGCGGGACAATGAGAGGTTCTTCTTCTGGGATAAAATCATGATTCCATTTCAAGATTTTCTTATGAGTTTTTTCTATAAACAGAACTTTTCTAGAAAAAAATAATAGTATAATCTTTCTCTTTTTTGAGCTTAATCAACAAATGTCCACCGTCAATAAGCCCAATATTCCATTTGCCAACAAGATTAAGATCTGTGAAATAGATTTTAATACAATTCATCTTAGGATGAGCATAAGAAAACTTGCCCATCAATGCAAAACATAATAGTTCCAATGTTGGCATTCTTCCTGGAAGCTTTTTTTAAAAGCCCTACCCATGAAGCCTCAACAAGTTTCTCTTTAAAGAACGAAGGGAACAAAACATTCCCTATATCCTTAGATCCGTTTGCTACGACATCACGAAAAAAAGGATGAGAGTCGAGAACTTGTTGGAATGAAGAAACTTTTAGGAAATGACAAAGGCTAAAAACACAACTTATGGAAGAAGCTTCACTCTTATTTATCACCTTTACTTGGCTTGATACAAACTCAAAGACTCCACCCCTATTTATACTAGTGGCACCTCCTAAATTAATGGCTAAGATTGTGCCACCACAATTACAATCCAATGGTTACAAATAATTCCACACCTACCACACAATAATTCAACACCTACCACACCTACCA